TCAAACACAATTAATTACAATTTCCAGGAAAACAATTTCTAAACAAATCAATTTCCTATAAAATATTTTCTTTCCACCTATTTTCCACATTTACAATCAAACGGACGCTAAGTGATTTAGCAAGTCTGTTAAATAATATATAATTTGGATTTTGTATTTATCTTAAAAATAAATAAATGTTTCGGTGGTACACGTATTAGATCAAAAGGTGTGTTCACGGTTCTTGTATTAATTTCTCCCAACGCGACGCCTATTCTCGACGTGTGGACCTACTTGTACTCTTCTTGCAACTCATACAATAAACGTTGAAAGATAGTAAAAATTAGTAGACCCCACCCTAACGTGAGAGGTTGTAAAAATTACAATCTCCTAATGATTGTACACCAAGTATTGTTGAGTTTTAATAGTTGCAAAAGGTGATGAGGTGGAATATTATCGTTCTTCCGGTACTACAGTTAGTCAGGGAAGAGAGATAGCAAGTTAACAAAAAGTGATAAAGTGCCCAATGAGAGCATAATTGGATATGGTTAATTACAGAAGCATGGAATATTTGGGGTTCGATTTCAAAAATTATATAAATGAGAAGTATTTCATAAATTAGGCGTGGCTTCAAATGTCAAAGAGTATGCAACTTTTTGACTTGTATATAAATTATTTATAGTGAATTTGAGAACCTATATTTAATAAGGTACAATAATATTAACTACTATGCCCACTTAGTGTAGATAAAAAATCAGATTTTTAGTAATTTTGATAAAAAGTTGATGAAATGTGCAGTTGAAAAATTGTTATTTTATTAAATGTGTGATTAAAATTAATTGTTAACTTTGACTTAAAATTTTGATTAAATTTTAATCTACCCCAAATAGGGGCTAACAGTTAATGTCGTTAAAATGTATGTAATTTCTTTTAAACAATAACCTAAAATTGTTACACCACCATCTCATCATCACCATCACCATCACCGTCAACAGTCATCAATATAAAATGTTTACATATATTGTTGTTATAATATATTTTATTACTTTTATAGTGTAAGTATTGATACGTTCCAAATTACATACCAATTAATTTTCCTTACTTGGTTTAAACGTGTCGTCTTAAATAGTAATATGGCAAGTAAGAGTCATTTCCCGCAAAGGGTTGGTTCAATTTAATCAACTACACTCTGGAAAGTGAAATTCATAGTTATATACGAAATGGATTAAATGGGGGGGTTTGGTTCGTTGAACTAAGGAAAGCAATAAATTGAAAAGTAAAAAAGATTTGAATTTTGAAATAAACAAAGTAGTTTTTGATTAAATATGTGAAAATGTGATTGAGGGATATTTTGTTACCGCGAGAACGATTTTTCTATCAATTACCACAATGAATTTTCGTTCTCTAAATTAATAACAATTCGAGAATAATTACAAGCTCAATTATCTCAATCTCTTCTTTCATGTTAGTTGAATAAAACAAGCTCTTTACTCAACCTTATTCTTTAAACAACNAGAGAACTAGAAAACACAAATTAATTGAAAATCATAACCCGAGTTTGGAAGCACCGCCAATCACAAATATATTTAGTTATCCATGAAATACTCAAAAATAACAAATAAAATTCTTACAACACATTAATGGAAAATAGATTAAAGAAAAGAAAAACTTATTGATAAAGAGAGAAATTGTTGAGAGTTCTTCAATATCAATGGATATTCTTTTCCAAGTTATTTCACCATCACCATACTCCAATCTTGCACTCAAAATACCTAAGAGAATCAAAGGAAAAAAAAAGAAGAAAGAGAAAGAAAGTAGAGAAAAAATGAAAAAGAAAAATAAGACAGGAAGACGCAGCCTCTATTCTCCAAAACAGGGCTGCAATTTTTAATTTAAAACCCTCATATCTAAATTGTAGCCCAAGCCCCCAAATTTCAAAACGTTATAATCTTGGTCCCTGAATTTTGGAATTTTTGCGTCTTTGGTTCTTTTTGCTCATTTCCCCATTAAATTCCCTTTAATCATCATTCAAACTCAGGTTTTCACATACACAATAAAAATAACTAAATTAAGTAATAAATTTCTAATGAAAACTCAAATATTTAAATTTAATGGTTCGAATAAATGCAAAAACCCGCACTTATCAAGTATTCTAAAATTCTAGCTCGAAATTGTTATAACATCTCGCCGTCGCCACAATCACACTCAACACACCAACACCAACACCAACATCAACATCACCCCCAATATTAACACATGAAAGTTACATAGATGTAACATTAATTATTTTGATTTATAACTTATCTACCCACCACCATTACAATCCACCACCATCAAGTATTGCCGCCATTACCATCTCCTCCAAAAGTTAAATCACCATAAAAACCAATAACTCATTAAGTTTGCATCATCACACCACCAACGACGATGTCATCACATAGCACCACAAAAACCAATCATCACATACACGAACCATCACAAAACCACCACCATCACGACCATGTACACCTCCTGAATTGCAAAAATAAAAACAAAAATCATACAAGTGAATTCCAGCGATGGTATTGGTAATGGCAGGGGTGATGTCGCGTAGTCAACTATGGTGCAAGGTGATAGTGGTGATGGTAAGAACTGTAGTGATTAATATGAACATTTTTGTAGTGGAGAAAACTTATATTATGCATGCCAATTTGAACATTTTAAACTAAATCATGAAAAGTAGATTTTTTTATATTTGACATAGCAAAGGGAATTCATTGTCATCTCCTATATTTTATGATCATTTATATGGAATTACACGAGAATCATAAATATTTTATGTTGGCTCATGATACTTGCAGAAGAGTATGATTTATGTTATGTATCATCAATCTAGATGTCAATACAATGACATTAAGAGTGATTAATACCTTTTCTGAGCTACATAACGTTACTCTAATTTATAATTGATTTTGATGAAATAAAGGCATGCATTATAAGATTTGCTTGACACGAGCACGTTAAAATGAAAATGCTTTTTAATCCCTTGCCTTAGTATTGTTAATTTTATATCCTACAAGTATACGATTTGTAACAAGTAATAAAGTGAATTTAAAATGTCGGTTTATCGTTCCTACAAAAATTACTATCTAACTAATTTTAATTGTTATCCTAAATATCACTAATCTACATACACAATTAAAAAGTGGTTCTTTATACGATGATTTAAGTGTTAGAAATTACAATTTTATCATAGATATCTCCTTAATCTCAATCACCAATTTTTATCATATTGATTACACGTACCCGGTCGAATTCTTCTAAATTAATTGATTTACCCCTCTTATGTTCAAACCCATTCTACCCAATGAAATCAACCCACCATATCTCTATGTAACGAATAAGCTGCAGTCAAGAGCATTCAATCACTAAAGAATTCATTTAATAGCCACGACAAACATAAAAATGTATCTATACCCTTTTATCTAAATTGAATATTTTTACTAAGTAGTATAAATAAATAATTCGTCTCTTGGTGTAATTATCATTCACAAATCAATGATTTAGTGATCAATTAATCAAAAAAATTAAGAATGAAAATAAAAATAATTCACAACATTAATTGGAGGCTAAAACTTAAGAATTAAAATTAAGGTTCAAAATCAGGCTACTATCGTTCATCCTAATTAATTGATTAATCAATTACATATCACGGGAGAAGAATAAAATAAGAAAGAATTAAAGTACATCATCCGATTTTAAGGGAAAAAGGGAAAAAGATGAAGATTTTGTGCAAGAATCGGCCTTCTTCTCATAAAGACCTTGAAACCATATATTTTTAATTTTTCTCTACTTAAGTGGCTTTCTTTTCTTATAATTAATATGACTTTTGTGTCCTAATAGGCCCCATTGACTTGTATAATATTTTATAATAATCCTTACAGCCTCTAATTATTGGACTAAGTTATGTATTTATAGAATAAAATTTAGGTTAAATTCCTTGTTCAAATTGTTTTTTTAAAAAGAGTTTGAGAAGAAAACAAAAACAATTCTTTGTTTCAATTGGAGACATTTTCTTATGGAAGTACTTCATCTTCTAATCTTCATAATTAAGTCATCTTCATCCCCCAAATTATTAATAATTTATGTGATGGAAGTTTTCGAAGTTAAAATTCAATCCTCAATCTTTTCAAATTTGAAGTCTTGAAACATATGAATTTTTACTGAATTCTCCATTAATACTTCCAATTTATTAATTGCAATCTGATTAATCTTCAATTGCTCAAATCAACTACAACTAAACTCCAAATAGTCCTTTTCATAACAATTGTATCCAAGTTGAGGTTTTTCCTACAAGTAATATAATTTACCCAAATTAAGTAAATAATCGCTCAATTTTACATAAACTTGAATAAGAATAGAAGTTCGGATAAGTACATAAAATGCACTTATCACATAGCATTGAAGAATGGGAAATTTTATGAGAGAGAAACAAGTTCTAATGGTCCATTTGAAGCATTTATAACGTGGAGGAGGAATAAGTATTTTATTGCTATAACTATGGAATATAAAATAATTTGACATTTATTTTGATTTCCCTTAAAAAAAAATCTTGTTTTTTCGCAATTTTTTTACAACATAAATACTGTTAAAATATAAATATTGTTAATCACCCTTCTGAAAACAATAAAGTATGGGATAAGAGCAAGAAAAGTTATGTGCAGGTTTGGAAAGTCACTATACAATCGATTTAAAATATAAATAAATAAAAATGAGTTGTAGGTATGTAGATATTATTTGCAGGTCTTGTAGAATATGTGAATAGAAAATAAGTTTAATCAATTCTGTTTCTAAATTAAATAGGTGCCAAACAACATCGCATTCTAAATTCGTACACACATATTTTCTCATTGGGATTACAAAAAATATGACATATTAGAAAGATGGCATAAAAGTCCCATCCAGACTATATAACTTTATTACATATTTCATTATTTTAGCATAGCTCTCAAGAAGAAAGAAACTGGGGAAAAAAAAAGTGGCTAAGGGAAGTCACCGTGCTTTGGGTGACTAGACGGAGGAGGAGCTGGCCTTGGGATATATGGCATCGTGCCATGCGGCCCACGGAGGATAGTTCCGTGATGTGTTTTACCCTTTGGACTCGGAACTGGATCAATAGGACGATAATCTTCCAGATTCACGTCGCCTGCATAAACTTCATCAAATGTTGGAGTACTATGGCTGTTATCCTGTCGATTGGAATGAGGATGAGACGCATAAAACATGTCACATTTGTATCACAAACAAATCATTCACGAAGTCTATCTTAATCGAAATTGAGAATATGCAAATTTATATAGGAACCTAAGTGAGAAAGCCCTTGAGTTGAAGTTCATGAGTTGTTTTACCTTGAGCTTCCGGCCTGTGATGATCAATGTCATCGCATTTGATCTGCCCGTGAAAACCATACCTATAACCACATCAAAAGAAATGTTACAAGTTCATGTTGATGAGATTTTCATGTCCAATAGAGCCCTCTCCTCTAATTAGTATTGGATCCAGCACTTGTTATAGTAAACTAAAATGCAGTATGACTTCCATCTTTGCCTGCTAATACAATTCCAATAGCCCTAAATGACATATTTACATGTCTACTTGGTCTAGCCTCGTGTTAAAAAATGACACTTAATTTTCCAGAATAGATGTTTTAGCAAATGATGGGACTGAACAAGGGATTATCAACTATACAAGAAGAATCATTAAATGTTAAGCATTCTGTGACTATAAATGCAATTTTTCGTCGAATCTAAACTTACCTTGCATGATTAAGAGAATGCGATACTGCCAAAAATTTGCCACTAAAAAGTGATATCGATACCTTGGAAATTCAAATCGGATGCGTATTTCAAATCCAAAAAAGATTTTTGCTCAAGAGTCGAATGCATAATCGATTAAAGGACATAAGAACAAATTCGACATTTCTCAGAATAGATTGTTATACTGTACAATAAGCAATTAATCTATCAGTCACACATGTAAAACAGAAGCCACATCTTGTTCAAATTCATCCAATAACCAGAAATAACAATTAATATTATATATATAGAGACACTCTTAAAAAACTAAGGGGGCTGTTCTCTTTGAGTTTTGAATTCATTTTGAGTTTTGTGTATTTATTTTGAGATTGTTGAAAATGTGTTCTTTTTAACATTTTGAAAAATTGTTCGAAAACACCCAAAACACGTTTTGAAAATTTTGGCTTGTTTATAACTGAAAACACTCAAAATGACAAATTTGTCATTTTGGGTTTTCTTTGTAAATTTTTAGCTTGTTTTCAAAAACGCGTTTTCGAAAATTGTTTTGGAAAATCGAAAACAGGCTTGAAAATGATAAAGAGAACAGACCCCAAATTATCAAGCATAAATATAATTTTGTTATAAAGAAAACTTATCTTAAGACAGCTAGAGTACCAATTAAAACCAATCAAAATTCAAAATATGACTAGAATTTAAATATAAAGAAGATAGAGGTTTATATATCTGAAGTGCCTATGTTCTAAACTGAGGAAACAATATAACATATATTTTAAATCAACTTTTCGTTTATCAGATTCAATTTATTATTGTAGATTCCATTTTGCAAACACGGATTTTTTACCTGGATTTGAGAAGTTGCCCTTTTTATAGGAGTAATCAAGGTACATGAAAGCGGCAGCCCCAACCATGAGGAACACTAATATGAATCCAAAAGCCTTCATAATGCCAAGAAAAAGTGGCTTTAATTATTTTCTTCAAACCCTTTCCCTTTTTTTGCTTTGGATTCTCAAAAAACTTAACAATCCACAAGTGTATAAACGCCAGAATCTGTTTCCAAGCACACCTTCAAAGAAAGAAGAAGAAAACTGGCCTTTAAATAATACTACTCAACACATTGAAACTTTTCTTCTTTAAGAAGCAGCCTTAATTTGTCACCTTCCACAGCTTTTAAACCAAATAATAAACAACCTTTAGTAAATTTGTGAGTCATAATGAATATCATATGGATTGCATTGCTTCTCCATAATATTGAATTATTGATAGAATATGGTCTGGACATAGGGATGGTGGTACTAAATGGAGAGTTATTGTGTTGCAGAAAACAGCAGCGAGGAATGAATGAATAGAATTAAGTGCTGGACTGGTCTGCGCTGGAAACCGAGCCCTGCAGGCTTCAAGATTGGCCTCTGCGCAAGGAGTCCAAATCTGCTGTTGTGAACTTGATATTCCCTTCTTGTCCTCTAATACATTTTTTTAGAGTTCAGCACATCACCTTTCTTAGCAAATGTAAAGACGTCAATCAAATTTTATGACATCCACATTACACCACAGCGTGCAAACATGCGAGTGTCAAAGTGTCGAAATGTATTAAAATTACAAGAAGATTCTTTGGTCTAAAGTCAATTTCTTACAAAAAGTAAGCCTTCACACTTAATTAATTAATTAACTGTTCACTGATTCAGTCTAAAGAAGAAAGTCCAAATTCCTCTGGATCTCCATTATCACTTAATTTTGATGGAGCAATAGCATAACTATTATTGACTTTACCTGCATTGCTCAAGCCTACTTTCTTCAAGATACGAAAGGAACAATCGAAAATGGTTGTCCCAATTTTATTTTAGATGGAGTCATCAACACGGCTAAGAATATTACCTTTACTTAGAGGGGATGGTATTGGCCACATGTCCGCCTCTTCCGGATGATTTTGTTAGGAATGGCCTATAAATGGAAGTTAAAAGCAACCTACAACATATATTGCTCTTTACTTTAATTTATTCATATACTGACTAGACCGTTGAAGTGATCGGGAAGATTTCTAACCCCTTTCCAGGTCATTGGAGCTACAGGGGAGCTCATTCTAGTGACTCCCCATTTTCCAGATATCATCACCAAACAAAACACTGGACTAAATGTAGTGGAATGGTATTTTACATTTCAAAAAATTCTTTGACCTATATCCAAAAAGTCCAAAGGCTATTTCTTACCCTACTTGCACAATAATTTTTTATATTAGAATATTATTGAAGTTGTTAGTTTGTTTGTTGTGGGAATGAATGTTACTTTATTTTTTTTCCCTTTATATATTAAACAAATATAATATTTGCATACATTTTAGAAGTGCCTAACTATGTTTATTTCCTTCAAATGAATAAATTAATTAGTTAAGCTGCATATTTCTTTTTGGGAATGTTCGATTGTGGATAACTGTCAAGTCTGTCCACGATGCATTAAAAAAAAAAACTTAAAAAGTTAGTTTACAAACACATTTGGATATGTTAAATTTTTTTAAGTAAAAAAAGTTGAATGGTTGTGAAACGAATTCTGACTTTATGTCGATATAAGTAACTTACTTAATTTAAACTCATTTATTTACTCAAGTAAACATGCTCTTAAGAGAGTACAAAGTTTATGTTGGTCTTGTGAGTGTGACTTACTGATGGTTTATGCTGCGATTGTCTCTCATGAACACATTTTCGAGCAGACTTTCCATCTATATCTTTAAAATGAAAAGCAACAAATTGAATTGCTTTAAGAAAATATTTATTGAGGCACATATAGATAGGGTTATTTATGTCTTTCCCTTCTCTTCATTGTGTGTGTGTGTGTGTGTGTATATATATAAATATATCATTCCTTCTCTTAGATTATATTGAATTGAATGTAACACAATTTCCCGCCAAACTCTTCTCCTCTCCATTCTAGAATTCTCTCTTCTCAACTCTACATGGTATCATAGCTTTGAAACTTCTCTGCAATGGTGTCAGTCCAATCATCTATTGGAGACCTGGTTGGTGATGATGTCAATTCCATTGCCAGTCAATTGATTATAGATCTGAACAGTTCTTATTATTTTCATTATGGTGATAATACGGGGATGCAGTTGATTTCTGTTGTGCTCACAAAAGACAATGATGCAACGTGGAGTCGTGCAGCTGTTATGGCACTTAGTGTTAAGAATAAAGAAGGATTCATTGATGGATCGATCACTAAACCATGTTATGATGATCTGCTTTACAGCACATGGAGAAGATGTAATCACGTGGTGTCTTCATGGATTATTACTTCTATTCCAAAGGAGCTCTATCCGAGCGTTATGCATAAAGGAAAAATATGGATTGAACTTAAGGATCGTTATAGCCAAGGTAACAGACCTCGCATTTATGAATTGAAGAAGCAGACTACTTCCATTTCACAGGAGAATAACACAGTTAACTCTTACTTCAATCAGTTCAAAGAACTTTGGGAAGAGCTAGACAACTATAGACCGAATATCAATAGTGTTGATTATAAGCAGGAAGATCTGGTTATACAATTTCTCATGGGATTAGATGAGTATTTTTCTGGTGACAGAAGTTAGATTTTGTTGATGGATCATTTGCCCTCACTCAATAAAGTTTTTGCACTCATTTTACAAGATGAGAGGCAGAAAGAAGTTATAACTAAGAAACAACATAGTTTTGAGGCAACTGCTTTTGCAAGTAAGATTGTACAGTTATTGTGGAATGCTTGGACATCTTAAAGGGAAGTGTTACAAATTGATAGGTTATCCCCCAGGGCATCGACTTGCAAAAGCACCTGTTGCAAATGTTGTCGGACAAGCTTCTTATGGTAATCAATCTGGTGTTGTGGACTTTCTTTCCAACCTCACTATCACTCCAGATCAATGCAAACAAGTTCTAGCTTTGCTAGTACCACAGTTGAAAGGATAGATCTCCACTTATCAACCTCAATCACAGCCTCAAGATGCACAATCCACTACATGTCCAATGCCTGATGCTTTAGCTTTCTTAGGTAATCACATCTGTCCTAATGATCATAAAGATGCAAATAGATGGATCATAGATACAGGAGCTTCAGAATATATGGTGTGCTCCATAATGCATTTAAATAATGTATCTGATGCTATCAAAGAATCTGTGAGATTACCAAATGGTGATACTGCTGAAGCCACACGTATTGGGATAGTAAAGTTATCTGATACTTTGATTTTAACAGAAATCTTAGTGGTGCCTTGTTTCACATTCAATCTGATCTCTGCTAGCAGATTGATACTAAGGCACAATTGTTTTATGATATTCTTACATCGGTATTATTTCATCTAGGATATTTTAACATGGATGACGATTGGGGTGGGCAAACTTGAAGATGGACTATATTTTTTCCAGCGTTCTGTTCAACAATTTTATGACAAACCTTCATACAATAATCATCAATCTGATCCTCAAACTATTCCTTATCACAACAATTCTTCTATTTTTCCATATCCCAACTGCACTTCTGATTTCGGTTTGCAGTGTAATAAGACAGAATATGTTACTTGTATTTCCATAGAGAGCTTAGATATTAGCACTAATATTGATCTTTGGCATTGTTGCTTAGGACATGTCCCTATCTCTAAACTGTCTATTTTGCACAATCTCATTCATGTTATTACATTTGATAAACAGCTGCATTGCACCATTTGTCATATGACCAAACAACATAGATTACCTTTTCCTATTATAAGAGCCTCCAAGGTGTTTGACATAATACACTATGATATCTGGAGACCACATTCAATTCCTTTATTGGATGGTTCTAAGTATTTTTTAACTATTGTGGATGATCACTCTCGAATGACTTGGACATACCTCATGCGAGAAAAATCAGAAAACAAGACCTTTCATTAAATCCTTTTATGATATGATCCAAATACATTTTCAATGCAATTTGAAGATCATCAGATTTGATAATGGATCTGAATTTCACATGTCTGAGTTCTACCATTCTAAGGGCATCATCCATCAACTTTGTTGTGTAGAAACTCCCAACAAAATGGTGTGGTGGAAAGAAAACATCAGCATCTCCTAAATATTGCAAGAGCTGTTAAATTCCAAGTTAATTTACCTCATAAATTTTGGGGAGAATGCATCCTCACTGCCACACATCTCATAAATAGAACACCTACTCATGTGCTTGCTAATAAGACTCCCTATGAAATACTTTATTAGGCAACACCATCATATACACATCTCAAAGTTTTTGGGTGCTTTTATTATGCTTCTACCCTCAAGCACCATCTTACCAAGTTTGGTTCCAGGGCTGTACCTTGCATTTTCATTGGGTACCCATATGGCATGAAAGCATATAAGCTATATAACCTTCATACTCATATTATCCTTACTTTTAGAGATGTACCCTTTCTTGAAAACATATTTCCATTTCATTATCCTAAGTTCCTTACTTCTTTGTTAAAGTCTGATGTTTGTCCATCACATGATTCAACCTTATTTCCAACTCGAGTACATTATTTATCACTTGACACTCCTGTCCAAACTTCTGTTCCTACCTTCACCCCAACAAATATTTTTTCCCCTTCTATCCCATCACTCCATTCACCTGTCCCATCTGAGGAATAGTCTCTTGAATTCACTCCACCCACTATACCTTCTTCACCTCTTATCATGCCAATTCGCCAATCTAGAAGACCTAAAAGAGCCCCTATATATCTTCAGGATTATTATTATAGTTTAGTCTCTTAGTTGCCTATTTCCCAATCAGAATCGATGGCAAAAGGTTCTATAGCTCGCAAACAATATTCCATTTCAGAATATTTGGATTATAGCAGATTGTCTCCTGTATAGAGAAAATACTCACTGGCTCTATCCACTATTTATGAATCCTAGTCATATGATGAGGCCTCCAAACA